GTTGTACATGTGGGTTTTGTGGGTTAGGACCAATTGTTTGTTTGTGTGATTGTGCTTGCTGTGTTGTTTTAATAAATTGTTATTCTGACTTGTGGTCTCTCCTTTGAGTTGAGTTCATTTCCCCTGCTGGTTGACTCTTAAACCAGTACAAGGAGGTGGAGGAATGGGTTCATGCTTGCTGCTGAGAGGCAGCAGTTTTAGGGAGGCACGACCAGGGCTGTTCCCAAGGGACCCTTCCAGGCAGTGTGAGCATCCAGCTTGTGCAGAAGCAGGGGGCTGCCTGTGCCCTAGGCCCTGCTGGGAGGTAGGATGGATGAGCCCTAGGTGAGGTGACAGGTAAGCAGTAATGTGCTCAGCATCACTCCTTGGCCAGGTGGGGCAGGGCTTGCCTGGGGAATGGAGAAACTATGCAATCTCCAGCATCTCTATCCACACTTTAACAGTGTGGTGGCCTCATTTTCGGATGGGTCCTTCAATGGCAACCACTTCTTTGCTCTGGGCTAAACCATGTTGAATGGCTACATGATCCAGTGTTAGAAGTTAAAGCCACCTCTGTCCTTATCATGCTTTGTCCGATGGTTGCATCGTCACTAAGCCAGACACAATCGCGTACAGAGTGCTTGCTCCTTGAGCCCCTGAAGAGCTGCCACGGCAGGAAAAAAACCGTCACAGCCCAAAACTTGCTTTCCTCCCTCTAGCAGGCACCATGTGTACGACAGCAGAGGTTGCGTGGTAACGGCAGCAGGGAGGCGCCAGCTCTGCCTTCCTCGCTCCCCGGACGGCACCGAGAGCAAGGTACGTATCAGCGGCCAAATCAGACTCTGAAACTCCCTGAACTTTCCCTTCTGCTTACCGGGGGGCAACACGTAACCGTTTTAAAGCCGTCCTTTGTAGGCGGCAGCTGGTTGTGCTTAGTTGAACTGTTGTGTGAGCCAGGGGGACGGGAACAGGGTGTTTGTAGGAAGAAAAAACTCGGGGAGATGCTGAGATTTTGGGGGTGAGGGAGGAAGGGAGACAAGTCACTATGTTGCCTAGAGCCTCTCGGCACTTCAAAACCTTTCTTTGCTCTGTCTCGTGAAAATCTGAATGAGCTTTTACTGGGGCTAAAAGTACTGGGAAACAAAAGGGAGACAGGGAGTTGCCGGCAGCCGGAGGAGGAAGCGAGCCGAGTGATGACGAATGCCTTCCAGCCCTGGCCAAGCGCTGGCACCCTTGCCCGGCCGCGGGATGTGCGGGAGAGCCGCTGGTCACTGGGGTCGGGGGGAAATCTAGGGAGGGGACAGTCACGGCAGCGGCCGAAGTCTGGCGTGCCCATCCTCCATCGCTGTCACGGCTTCGTTCCAAACAAACAGCTTAGAGAGAGGCCTTTGTGCCAGCGAGGTGCAGCTCGTCCGCTCGGCAACATGTTGCGCTAACGAGGGAGACAGAGAGAAAAGATGCGTCATGGATAGGACCGGTGACAGGGATGGAGAGCGGGGACATCCCAGGACCTCCAAGCTGGGCCACCGTGCACAAGCTGTCTGGCAAGGTGGAAGGCAGGGACACCACAGAGGAATGGATGTTTTTGTTGTTCCCAGTTTCGATCTCCCTGGGGAAGTACAAGGCGGGGTCCTGTTTCCCCCAGCCAAGACCCCGCCATGGTGCCTCTCCTCTGGGTGATGGATCCCCATTGTCCTCCAGGTCCCAGCATGGGTTACAGGTTGCCCTCCGAGTCAGCTGGGGCACCACCTCACTTTTACTCTCATCCTTTGTGCATCCCCTAATTATAGGGATTTCTCCTGCTCCTGTTCTCCTGTCTTGTATCCCAGTGCTCCTGCTCCGGGTGGGGGTGGGGAGATTGGGGTGGATGGGAAACAGGGGCAACAGGGGATGGGAGTAGAAGGAAAGGGAGGAAAAGAGAAGGAAAATAGGTAAGTTGGTGAGAAGAGGGGAAAGAGAGAAGAAATGGGGTAAGAGGAGGGATAGCAGAAAAAGGAGGACAGAATTGTGGAAAAGAAACAAAAGAGGGAAAGGGGAAAGAAGGGAGAAGGAGGAAAAGAAAGAGAGAAGTGAGGAGAATACAGGAAAAAGAGGGAAGGAAGGGAGGGAGGGAGAAGATGGGGGAAAAAAGGGGGGAAGGGAAGAAAAAGAGGGAAGGGGGAAGCACAGGAAAGAGAAGAAAGTGAAAGGTGAGAAGGGAAAAAGGAAAAAGAAGGATGTGAGGAAAACAGGAAAAAAAGAGGGAAGGAAGAAGACATGAAGGAAAAATATAAAGGAGAGTGGAAGGGGGAAAGAAAGGAGGGAAAAGGGGAAAAGAAGAGGGGAAAAGGGAGGGAGAGGGAAGCAGGCAAATTAAGAAAGGGAAACACAAAAAAGGGGAAAGAGAGGAGAAACGGGAAAAAAAGGAAGAGACAGAGGAAAAGGGCGTAAAAGGGAAAAAAAGGGGAAAAAAAAGGGGAGGGAGGAGGGACAAATCCTGCCCCTCCCCGCTGCGCTACCAGGCGGAGCCGGGAGGAGCCGGCGGCAGCTGCGCGGTGGCGGCGCGGCGGTAGGAGCAGGGCAGGGGGGGCTGGGGCGGAGGGACGGAGGAAGGAAGGAAGGAAGGGAGGGAGGGAGCGAAGGAAGGAAGGAAGGAAGGAAGGTTGCGGGAGTTAAGCGCTGCCCGCTGTGCGGGAGCTGTCGGGAGGCGGTGGAGCTGCGGGCACAGGGGCGGGTGCCCGCGGCGGAGGGGCCGGGCAGGGGCAGCAGCGATGGCGGGTGTGCCCGCGGGGCAGCGCCGGGCCGGGGCTCGGGACCCCGGAACGGGATCCCCCCTCGGCTCGCAGGGAGGTGGCAGAGCTCGAGGGGGTCGGGGGAGAACCTTTTGTCGATCCGGGTTTAGGGGAAAACCAGGCAAATGCCCGGGAGGGCTCTGAGCGTCCCCTGGCGTGTCGCCGCGGAGGGGGTTGCTCCGACCCGCATCACCCCGTGACACGTGGGCTGTGGTGCCATCCCACCGAGGCCGTGGGCCGGCATTCCCGGCAGCGCCCGCGTTGGGAAGGGCAGAGGCCGAGCACGTCCATGAGCTCGTGATCCCGCTGGCGCCGTGTCCCGGGTCCCGCCGTGATTCCCGAGCGCAGCCCCGCGGTCGGACGCGTCTCCTCCTCACGTGGGTGAGGGGTTTGTTGCGGACGAGACCTTACGTGAGCTCTGATGCCGAGCTCGCCTCCGAGAAAAGCGAGTTTGGCATACCCGCGATGCTGTGGCAGCAGGAGGTGAATGGGAGGGAAAGCGGTGGTTAACTGCAGTTCGCATTCCGATGTGATAGCTCAGGGGATTATTTCTTTTACAAACGCCCTGTAGTCTGAGTCATGTTGGCCAAACCAGGGGACCAAGGCTGCATTTTGTCACCTACTGCAGCGCAGCTTCTAATCCCATCCACTGCAAACTAAGCCTGGAGCTCAGCTACCGGCCTTGTCGTGGTTTTGTGCACATTTATCTGGAGCTGCTCTGCAAGGGGCAGTGTTTACATCAGTTCAGAAATGCAGGTTGACTGCAGAGCAAAAAAATTCCTGCTTACCGGCTTCTGGTACTTCACTTGCACCACCAGAGCAACCTTTCAAACCTTGGAATCAAGGCATGAAGGAACGCTTTTCCCGTTCACCGAGGTTCCACTTCTCACATACAGACATATGACTCACAGGATTTTTAATTTGAGCCCAGGCAGTTCTCATGTTCATTTTTCTCACTGACCCTAATTCTCTCAAAATTATCCCAGTTTTAATTATAGCTTGAGGTTCCACAGTTGGTCGGTGCGTAGAGCTTGGCATCTGTGTTGCTCAGCAGTGCAATAGTGAGTAACACCAGTGCCTCTGAAAGGTCGTTCTGGTTAAGCTCCCTTGGAGAGGGAAGGGAAGCTTCCTAGTTTCACACAAACAGCTTTCAGATAACCGGCTGTTGCCATATCTCTCCAGGATTCCTATTTCCCTCGTGGAGAAGGGCCTTGACAAGTCCCAAACAATACCATTCCAACTCTGCTGGCTTATAGTGGTGCTTGCAGAGTAGTGTTGGAAAAATATTATCTGTCCCCTTTGCACAATGTGACTCATAGCTGAGAGCTGAGGGGGTTGGAGAATGTTGTTGCTTCTCAGTAAATTAGAAAAAAAAGGTGGTTTTGTTTTGTTTTAATTTTCAGGTCTTATCTCAACTGTCAAAATGGAGCTTGACATCCAGTGTGAGGAGATGAGCCCATCCAGATGGGCTGAACTTCTGACTACAATGAAATCCTGCAAAACCATCAGGTAGTAACCAGTTGTGTATCATCTCTTCTGAGTAAGAACTGTTGCAATTCTCTCCTGTGCTCTTCACCTTCAGAACTGTTTGACATAGGACTTAGAAACTGATCAGCAACAGTATTGATTCTACCTACTTTTATCCAGAAAGTTAAATTAATTTAAAGTTTTTCAACAACAGATAAACATTGTTTGGTATGAAGCAATGTTGCCCTGATTCTGTGGTGTGCCATAGAGCTCAGCTAGGAGATGTGATTATCTAATATTTGACCACCATTTTGGTTATTCTGCTTTTCTCCCTCAGGAGGGGGAAGACATCACCCTGTGCTCATTAGGTTGCACATTCTTTGGGCTGCAGCTTAGATGCTGTCTTAACTTTTGCTTAATAGTCACACACAAGCCACCTGCCATCGGCTTTTAATTCTTCACTTGACCTTCAGAAGCACCAACCTTCTTTGTTGAGCAGACAGCATGAGGGAACCCTCTCCTGGGGTGTAGAGTGTAGGACAGGGCCCAGAAGAGTTGCTCCTGCAGTCTTTCGCCTCTGCTGGTTGGGAATTCACACTCCACAGGCTGGTATCATCCTGCTCAGGCTGGAGAGGATGGGCCGCATCATGCCAGCAATGCCTCGGAGGACATCAGCCAGGCTGAAGGTGGCTTGCTTTTGTTTTGCAAAAGAGCTTTTCCAGGCAAGCTTCACGGGCCTGGCCTTGACTTCCCGAGGCCTGCCCTGGGTGGCAGAAGGCAGTGGGATGGTTGTCTCCTGGGCAGAGGGTGGGCTGCTCCAGATGTAGTGGATGAGAGTGGCTGCAGCATGGATTGCTCATCAGTATTGAACAGTCTCATTGGGAATCAAGTCTTCTTGCCAGAGGGGCAGAAGGAGAAACCTAGTGGACCCTCAGTTTTCATGCTGTTGTCTAAGAAAAGTGACCAGGCAACTTTTGGCAATCCTGACTGTGGCTGGGGCTGTAGGGTTCTTCATGACACCTTCCTTTTCCCCCATGTCTTTTCTGCCTCTCTCTATGGCTCTCTGCCTGTCCTGGGCTCCTGATCCTTTCCTTGACTCTCCTTTCAATTCAGTTAACCCACATCAATTTAGCAACAACGAGAAAAATGCTGATGTCCAGTGGGAGAAGCTGCTGCCATACTGCAAACTCACCGTTTGTGTGCTGAGATTCACGGTGGAGGGAGATTGGTGCAAACCAGCATGACTCACCTACAGGAGACCAAACTGCTTGTGGGTGTCTCTGGGGCTGGCTGAAGATCCAGCTTGGCTGTTCTCAGTGCAGAACCAGTCTGACAGCCTGTGAGCTGCCTCTGGTTAGACATGGCCTCAGATGGCAGGCAGTTTCCCACTATGACTGTTTAAATGAAGGTGCATCCTACAGCTGAAGGGGAATGATTTGTGCCCTCCTCTGTGTAGCAGAGAGGAGGAGTGAGGCTTGGGGAACTGCCACCCAGCCCATCCTGTACTGCAGCCCTGCAGAGAGCACATCTTGTTTTGGGCCATGCAACGCTCAACAGGTCACACACATACTTATGGAGGCATCCCAGGAACTGCAGAGGACTAAATTGCCCACTTTGCTTTAAAAGGGAATGCTCCAGCCAGGGAGAACTGAGCAGCTCTGGGGACTAAAATGCTCCTTCTCTCTGTGTCTTTCAGGTTGGATGACTGCAATCTCTCCAGCAGTAACTGTGAGGATCTCTCTTCCATCATCAATACAAATCCATCCCTCACAGAGCTGAAGCTGAACAACAATGAACTGGGAGATGCAGGTGTTGAATACCTGTGTAAAGGGTTGCTGATGCCAAGCTGTAGCCTACAGAAGTTATGGTAAAGCCCCATTTTGTCTTGCTCTAACATGCTGTCGTGAATGAGTGTTTTAAGGTCACTTGAATCACTGGCAAAGGTATTGGCAAAAGCAGGTTTAACATAAAAGTGAAAGCACAACAAAGTTCACTGGCAAGGTTCACTCTACTACTTACTAGATGGTTAAAGCACAAAGAGAAAAAGCAAACAAAAAGTTAAAATAAATCTAAAACCAATGTCAACCCAAAACTTATCTTCATGGAGGCTGGGGTGGGAGGAAGGATAATGGTATGGATAAAAAGGAATAAAGAAGACTTTCCTGTTGAGTCTCAAGGTTCAGAGTAAACACCCTTGCTAACCTGAGCCCCAAACTTGACCAACAGTTTAGGCCTAAAGGTTTTAACATCACTTAAACTTAACAGCATTTAAGCAATAGTTTAAATTAAACAATTTAACAAAGTATTCATTTAGAATTTACTATAGCACAACAGTTAAATCAGGCCTAACTTACAAATCTAAAGTACTTAAGAATCTAGCAGAGCAACAATCATAGTACATTTGCTGTAGCATATTGACACCTGCACACACACAGACCTAAATAAGTAAGTACAAGGTGCTTGCATCTTCTCAGCGGGTGAAGGATTGAGCCTCGAGGCGGGAGGGGGTGTCAGCACAGAGTCCATCGTTGTCATTTGGCAATCCTCTGAGTATAGCCAACTTCAGAGTTCGCCAGCTGACTCTGAGAGGCCCCGTTCTGGTTGCAGCCCACTGTGGTTCAGGAGAGCTCAAAGGGTCTCACTTTGGACTGCTGTTTATAAGGTCATGAGAGAGTGGGCTTTAGTCGTAATAATTTTTCATCCTGGTCGGTAATTTTCTTTGAAACTTTGATAAGGAAAACGTTATTCCACTTGGGTTATTATTCAGGCAAGAAAAATAAGTTTCTAAGGCTGTTCATTAAAAACACAGGAGCTCATTAGACAGCGTTAGTTCCTGGGAACAGACAGTGAGCTTTTTTGTAAGTTCAAGGGGACCTTAGCCCAGGTGCTATTTGTCAAGGCTGAGGCCCAAGGGAAGGGAGGGAATGCACCACTACATGTGCTTACAGGCAGCTACAGGTGAAATCGTGAGGCAAACTCGTATGTGGGGGTATTCGGTATTAAGAGCCGTGACGATCCATTTCAGCCATTACCATGGTCAGATGGCTGGAAAACCCCAGCAGTTTGTATGTAAGTGGTATATTTATTGGAATAGTCCAGATCATCAGCCTCTCTTCATTTTCCAGCACAGAGGGAAGGACAGGTAGGGTTTTCCCAGCCACGCAAAGGCTTTCTGGGGACTTTCTTTATAAGAGGTGCTAGATCTTTCCACAGTCTAGGCAGCTGAATTATCTGTTTAGGCCAGCTTAAACAGAAGGATGACCACAAAGGGCCCCCACTCTGCCATTAGCACATACTTGACATTGTCACAAATGCATTTTTCAAAGGGCTCTTCTGCCAGTATTAAGCATGGTATTCAACATGTGGTCTGGTTTGCTTTCTCCTTTCTCTGGGAGCCAAGCAAAAGGGTGTTCTTATGAGCCTTGGTCTTTCAAGAGCTGTCAGCCTTTCTGCATTCTACCAGACTGGCTCAGTCTCAAGCCTTGTCTTCTCAGCTGGGCAGAGCCAGCTTGGTTTGGGACAGCATGTTTTATAGAGGCACCCCGCCACATTATAGCATTAGTGGGCTTCCATCAGCAACCCTGGTGCAGCAGCTTTAGTCAGAGCCAATGGCTGCTGCCCCTGCTCCTCAGAAGCCCTCAAAGAGATGGTTTCTCTGTCCAGCATCTCTTCTTCAGGATACTGGAGTCCTCCAGCTTGTGAAGGGGGTCTAGGACACTACCTTGTAAAAATCATTTGCCTTTTAAACCAGATATGCCTGCTTCAAAGTCTCTGTGTCCCCTGCAATGAGGACTCACAGACAAATAGGGGGAAAGTTGACTGTAAAGCTAATCAAATTGCAACTCTCTGATGGGCCTTCAAGAAATAACTGTGGTACTCTGTACTGGAAGACTTAAGTAATTTTTCAGAGAGTTTGTCCTAGGCTTCACACTTCTCCAGATGCTCAAGTAACAGCCTGGATTAGGCTTTCTCAGTTCTATAGAAATATAATTGTCCGTTTTTGGGGTTCTAGTGAGGTGCCTTAGGAAATAAAAGAGCAAACAAACCCAAGTCAAACTTAGTACCTCCATTCATGACCTCTCTCCGTTGCCACAAAGTCCTGTCCAATAACTATATAAACATCCCATAGCAATACTAGCACAGTTCCTGTGCTACTTCTCCAAGCCTGAGTGCTGAAGGATCAACTTCGTAGACCCTTCTTAGAGTATACCAATAAACATCTAAATGATATCCATGGATTTAAGCCAAGTAGGATGAAATTTTAACTTCTAGCTACTCTGGGTCATATTTCTAGGGGGGGCAAGAAATCATAAGATGCCACTGCTTTATCTCTGGGATCAGCCTCGTGATAATTAAAATACTTCTATAAAGCAGTTGTGGTGCTACTTCATGTAGGGTGGATCCTTATTTATTCTGCTGGAGGTGCTGCATGAGCAATTATGCTGAAGGAAGCATGGGAGCTATTATTTGTGGTACAGATATAATACTAACTGAGAGAATAATTTAACATGTGTAAAACAGCAGCACTAACCAGGATATATCGTTTCCTAGAGGGTTAGTGCCATGGTGTCCTTTCCAAGCTCAAACCTTGGCAGATACACCTCGCTGAGAAGAGCCTCTGTAATTCTGGGGGTGCATTTCCCTCACCCTGGTTGCCTCTCTCCTTCAGGCTGCAAAACTGCAATCTGACAAGTGCCAGCTGTGAGACCCTGCGGTCTGTCCTCAGTGCACAGCCATCCCTGACAGAGCTGCACGTGGGTGACAACAGACTGGGAACTGCTGGAGTGAAGGTGCTGTGTCAAGGGATGATGAACCCCAGCTGTAAGCTGCAGAAGCTGCAGTAAGTAGTCACTGGGATTTTTTGGTCATCAGACAGGTCATGCTTGTCTTTCCCTTGAGAGAAGGAGGAGTTTTGTTCCCAGATGTGGATTTCTTCTTGTTTTACCTGAAGTTGTGTCACACTTATTCACACCGGTGGGTGTCGTGGGTTTGTAAGACTTGGGTGTCTGTTCCCATATGCTTTGTTTAGGCCTCCTGGCAGCAGTGGCTGTAAATGCAGGACCTCTTAGACGTCCAGGGGACATCAGATTCTGCTGCCCTTGGTCTTTGTTTTATGACTGAGCGGGACCTTGGTCTATTTGCAGCCCCCATCTCGGGCTGGGAAGGCCCGATGGTGAGGCTGTGAGATGGTGTTGCAGTGTAGAGCTCAGCCATGTGCTCCAGGGCAGCCTGTGCAGTGGTTTAATGGAGGATTAGTGTAAAAATGGGTGGGTAATTAGTCTTGCTAGGGTCCCCTAGGATCTGGTTTAAGAATCAATGCTTCCTGCAATGAGCAGAGAGATGCTGTTAAAAACTCTTATGTTGTCTCTGCCTTTATGCGTTGCCTGGTCTCAACTCATGTTGGCATCTTTTCTGCCCTGGCTAACACACACTTTGCCCACAGCTGATTCTTGCAGGTCGTGAGATGTGGTAAAGACAGTTGTTTTTTTGCCTGGATTTCTTTTCTTCTTGCAGGCTGGAATATTGTGAACTCACAGCTGATATTGTGGAAGCTCTCAATGCCGCTCTGCAAAGCAAGCCCACCCTGAAGGAACTCAGCCTGAGCAACAACACTCTGGGAGATACAGCTGTAAAGCAGCTGTGCCGGGGACTGGTGGAGGCAAGCTGCAACCTAGAGTTACTACAGTAAGGAAGAGCTGGACATCTCTAATTTCAACCGGTCCTGCTGCTAGTCATACCATCCATAAGACAGAAAAAATTATTGCCAGGAATGCTTGACATTTAGGCCAGATTTTTGCAGGCTCAGATTTATGTAACAGGAGGCTGTACACAAACGAGTGGGGCTTTCAGTTTTGGAAATTTTGGTACCACAGGTTAAACCAGCACTTACCAGGGGGGACTGCTTGCCAGTGTCTCAGAGCAGAGGAACAAGTACCCTCAGTGGCTCCAGTTCTTAACTTTGAATTACTAGCCAGATGAGCATACTTATTAGAGCCCTTTTTTGCTACAAAACAGAGGTTCTGGACTTGGCATTGTATCTGGGGTAAAGCCCTTGAAGGGCTTTAGGGTAGAAGCACGATTAATTTTATATTGCCCCTGTGGTTCAGCAGGGGTTGGCTCAGTGGGGACTCACTGTATGATACAGCCAAAAGTTCCTCTTAAAAGGGATAATCAATATAAAGTGGGAGTTTGGCAAGAATGATCCTTGCTTTAATGGTTATGAATGGATAGGTCAGAGTAAAAATGCCCTGCAGCCTCATGAAATGCAGGAGCAGTGTGTTGCCTCACCCAGAGCCCATCTAGGACACCTGTATCATCTCTGAGCCTTGCAGGATCTAGCAATGCCCAGCTGGGCTGTACTGGTTTGCAGCAAGGAAGCAGCACATAGACCCTTCTCAGTCTGAACTGGGCGTGTTGGAGTGTATCTAATACAGCAGGTCTGGAGCAGTAACTCCAACTGTGCTTTTTCATGCAGCCTGGAGAACTGTGGCATAACCAGCGACAGCTGTCGGGATATTAGCACTGTTCTCAGTAACAAGTCATCACTGATGGATCTCTCTGTGGGGGATAACAAGATCGGGGACTCCGGGCTGGCTCTGCTTTGCCAAGGACTGATGCATCCTAACTGCAAAATCCAGAAGCTGTGGTAAGGGCGGGAAGAGGTTTCTTAAATCCCTGTGCAGCCCCCAGGCTTTCCAAGGTTGTGCTGCTGGTTCGCTCCTAAGTGGAAAGCGTCTGTTACCCCTCTGGCCCAGTGAAAAAAGAATGTCTCAGCTGTAGATTAGTTCCTTCTCAAAACTGGTGGAGGACACCATGAGCAAGTAGAGCCACGCTGAAATCACTTGGATCAGATTCTGGGAAGAGTGCGAATGGAAGTTTGCGGTGGCATTGTCTTGGTTTCCTGTTATCTACTAGAACTGCATGTTCCTTTTTTTGTGCGTGTGTGTTAAAAACAGAGCTTTTGCTGCAACAACTGGAAAGTAAGGAGAAAGCTGTGTGATATGATGCATGAATGGGTTTTGTAAAGGACAGAAGAAAATGAGATCATGTAACCAGAAATTCAGAATACTAAAATAGGATTCTGTTTTCTGATCTAAGTCATTCTTGGGAGAAAATAATGGTTTTTTTCTTCCCTGCAGGTTATGGGACTGTGATCTCACAAGTGCTAGCTGTAAAGATCTCTCCAGACTCATCAGTACAAAAGAGACCCTCAAAGAGATCAGTCTAATAGACAATAACCTGAGAGACTCAGGGATGGAAATGCTGTGTCAGGCGCTCAAGGATCCCAAATCTAAACTTCAGGAGCTATGGTGAGCTGCTGTCAAGTTTCACGTATCCACTGCCTTCTTTGAAGGCTTCACTGAAGAAAGATGTAAGTGAAGTAGTGCCCACCAGATTGATGCTCAGTTGCAATGGTTGTATAAACAATTTGTGCTGGTTGTTAATGAAAGGATTTATGGAGTTGAAGAGGGTTTTTATAGACTTACAAACTTAAAAGGTATTTGTATTTCTAAACTCGTAGACACTTTGAAGATCTGCCCCATAGTCCTGTTAATAGGAGACCAAACATCACTTGTAGAGCTTCTAATATATTTTATCGTGCAACAAATGTCAGCTGAGAGACTTTTGAAATTTGAAAGGCCTCATATAATAGCAAATTGAGTGCTGTGATCAGATATCTCAGGTTCTCCACTGGATCTAATCTCTCTCACTGATCAGCCAAAAGAAGCTGTAGTGACATAAACAGTTCTCAGCATCCTATCCTGTTGACTGTGTTACCCTTTAGTCTGGGACGGTCTGGTGGCCAGGAGAGGAAATTTGTTCTTTCACTCAGAAACTGAACAAGCAACACTTGAACTTTTCTACTTTGCAAATTCAGCTTCTGCCCCAGTTGGGTTCTTGCCCTACACTGGAGGCTTGGAAGTCAACCTCAGGAGTGCATGGTGGAGCCAAGAGTGACTGTTAGAGCAGTGTGCTTCATTTTTGATTGTCCCTGTGCTTGATGGGCAGGTGCCTTTCGTAGGTGCACGCTCTGAGACAGACAGCTCACATATAAGAGTGGGAGAGGTGCTGCTTAGAAAGAACGGAGCAGATGGGGGTTGAGGGGAGTACACTGATTATGGGAAAACTCTGGTTTCTCTGTTCCCACTGCCTGGGCTCCTGTTAAGCAAATGTAGAGAAGTGAACGGTGCCTGATACTCTCTAGATCTCCCACCTAGATCTCATGTCACTTTTGCCTTGCAGGGTTAGGGAGTGCGGGCTCACGACTGCTTGCTGCAAGGTTGTCAGCTCTGCTCTCAGCACCAACAAGCACTTGAAAGTACTGCACATGGGTGAGAACAAGTTGGGAGATGCAGGTGTTGAACTCCTCTGTGAAGGGCTGCTGCACCCCAACTGCAACATCCAGTCCTTATGGTAAGGTGCACCCTCAGAAGTCATCTTCTCTCTTGCTGCATTACCCTTCCAAGACTGTGCAGAGAGATAGAGACAGCATTAGATGTTAGTGTGGTATTTTTTTGTTTTGTTCATTATAAAACAATTCGCGCCACAAGCTGATGATTAAGTAGTCCAGGAGCAAGTCAGTGGAAGCCACACCTTCTTCTATGTATTCTGTCACTCATGATCTCGAAAGTACAGGCTGGCACCTGTGTGACAGTGCATTCGTAGCTGTCCACAGGTGCTGTCCCAGGTGCAGAACTGAAAGTTCACAGCACAGTGTACCTGGGACAAAGAGTGGGGAGGCTGGAGTGATCTTGCTTTGTTGTGGGAGCCATGCACTGTAGAGCTTCTGGTGCCCTTCTCTAAACTCACGTGCAGGGCCTCTCTCAGGTGGGACACTGAAATGGAGAAACTGCTGGTCGAGGTGTCATGTGCTTATTCTCATGCCTGCCAGTCTCAGTGCAAAGCCTGCCTGGATTCACCTGTTGCCCCTTATTCCCATAGTCCCTATGGGTGCAAATACAAGTACTGATCCAGCCTCACTGGTAGGAGTAGGAGGCCATCTGGAGCATCACCTCCAGCCCTGTGGTGGGCTTTGCCTTCTCCATCTGCCTGTCCCTTCCCAGGTGGGCACTGAGCTCTGGACTGTGTGATGCTCAGGGCACCTCAGTGCTTTCTCCACGCCTCTGGACAGAAGCCGGAGCTGTGCTCCGATGCCTGAGTCTTACAGTGAGTGAGTTGAGCCAAAGGGTCGTGGGAGGCATAAGTAAGACTAGAAGTCTCTTCCAGAAAGATATGTTTGCTGACCAGTTAAAGCTTCACAACTGAGAGGTCTCAATTGCCCTTTTTGGAGAGATTGTTGCAAGTCTCATATAGCACTCACATAGTACTAAAGTTTAGAGATGATTTATGATCACTTCAAACCAAAAACATGATGCCTGGTGTTGAAGTTGGGAATATCTTCTATGGGTTCTTCTACTCCTGTAGCCATACATTATTAAGCTTTAGGGAGGACTTCTAGGTGTTCAGCAGTCACCATGAGGGTGGCTGTCTCTGTGCTGGGACCGCGGGCCAGCCCCTGCTGATATCTCAGAGCTGTCAGCTTCACAGAGATTGCTGCTCTGTGCTAGGATGTCTCTGTGTCTGCTGTCTGAGGGTGGGCTGGTGGTCCCTGGAGCCATGGCTCACTGCAGTGTCCTCTCCCTGCTCTCCCTGCAGGCTGGGTAACTGCGATCTGACGGCAGCCTGCTGTGCCACCCTCGCCACCGTCATGACCACCAAGCAGTGCCTTACCGAGCTGGACCTGAGCTACAACCCTCTGGAAGACGAAGGCATCAGGAAGATCTGTGAAGCCTTGAGGAATCCCAGCTGCAACGTGCAGCAGTTAATGTGAGAGACGTTTGTGGCCCTGTTGTGTTCCCCCTGGCAGGTGGTGAACTCAGAGAGCTGGGAGGCTGTGGGGAGGGGGCCGCAGGCACCGGCTCTCTGGGAATTGCACCTGAGGGCAGCTAGTGACCAGGGGGGATTCAAATGCCGTCTGCATGTCCAAGTGACATGACCACAAGTGCCTTGGTCTGTTTTGGTCCACAGGGCCAAAGAACAAGGAGAAGGTGATGCTGGTGAGGGAGTAATAAGGCTCTGGATTGTAAAGCATGTTTTTGGCTGTTGGGCCGGACTCAAACCTAGATGGGGCCCTTCCTGTTATATGATCTTCCCATACTGGCCATCTGTGCATCGTTCTCTTTCTTTAACAGGAGGATGCTCACTAAACTTTGCTTGCCTTTTTGTTTTGGTGTAGTTTGTATGACATTTTGTGGAGTGCTGAAGTGGATGATGAACTGAGAGCCTTGGAAGACTCCAAGCCTGAAGTGAAGATCATTTCATGAGTGGTGACTGCCTGCAAAACAACGTCAAAGCAACATCCTCTTCTTAATCTGAACTTTCCATACGTGAAGCTAATTAACTTAATAGAGAATTTTCTTGTACCGAAACCATTTTTGGATTCCCTGATTGGGTGTCTGGAGAGCTGATTGATCTCCTGTGCATCTCTGGATGTACTAACTCTGAGGCTCATGAAAGCTGCAGCATCACTATCCTTGAAATAAACAATTACTGTCTTATAGAAGTGGGTCTCTAGCCTTTAGGAGCTCTTTAATCCTATAATCCCTTCTAATGAATTAGTTGGGCTTTAAAGAGAGCTCCTTTCCCAAGGCAAGAGAACTATGCACTGTATTGTTACTGCATGTTGCTTTTGATAGGTCTCTGGGGGAGGCTCTCAAAAAACCGAAATGTTTTTTAATCTAAAATGGAGTTCTCCCCTGTCTTTCCCTGAAAGAGTTATTTGAAAAGCAGTGGTGGCCAGGGCACTAGAGAAAAAAAAGAAATGAGCAGCTATTCAGCTGTGTAATGTCAAAACTGGTGTCCTTTGAAAAGTGATTTTCCTACAAAAGATGCTGTGTGCATTCCTGCTAGTATGGGAAATTATTAAATGATTGATGTGTTTGCTCTGGCAAAGAGTGGTTCTACAGGAACTTTATACTTAATTTTTCTACTTATAAAAATAAAATATATCTGTATATTTCTCCTTTAAGACCAATCTAATCTCTTCTGAATTACAAGCTTGTTTTACTTGTTTGGTTTTGGTAACTCTTTAACTGAAATATATCAGAGATCTTAGTCAAGGTAGACAACAAGCCTAGAACACATTCCAGTTTTCAGGGAACGTTGACTGGCTTTTCATGCCCAGTCAGAGTTTTAATAAACCCTGTTCCAAGGGTAAATGCATCTGTTGCATGCCTAAAACACAAAAGAATGAACACAGCTTTAAAAATGTAGAAGGAGAACCTGGCATTGCCCTGGGGTGGCCTTGCAGGAAGAATGCCAAAAAAATCCCATTCCCTAACATCTCTTTCTGGAGTGGTCGCTTGGTGTTTCATTCACTTGCAAGTCCTGCATGGGCACCCAGGTTCATAGAATATGCTGAGTTGGAAGGGACCCATCAGGATCATCGAGTCCAACTCTTGGCCCTGTGCAGGATACCCCAAGAATCACACCATGTGCCTGAGAGCATCTTCTGGGCTTTGGCTTCTGATACTCACCTATTGATCATGTAGAGGCTGTAACTGGCTTTTTTTTTTGACCTAAAATACTTGAGCATTGTTTCTACAATAGCCTTCACAAGCCTCAAATGGTGCCTGTGAAACAGTTTAATTGTGTCTTCAGGCAGGTATGAAGGATAGGATTTGTCTTTTCCTCGAGGCATGTCTCTTGATGCTGCCCAAAATGCTAAAAAAACACTCCTTTTTGCTTTGGTCTTCCCCATCAATAAAAACTTACCCATTCTAAGGAGCTCATTAATAGGTTTTTCAGTTCATGGTCTCTCCTGGACTTAGCATGCACAGAATTCATTTCAAGCTGGGGGAGAAGATAGGGCTGCAGAGGGGAAAGAGAAAAGTAGGGGGAGCCAGGAAAATTAAGCATCTCCTTGGGTGTAAAGAACTCTCTAAAAAGACACAGCAAATATTAGAAACAGATTTCTGAGAGTACTTGGTATGGTGGATAGAAAAGGATGTCTGAGAGGGAAGCAGAAGTGCTCCTGGGCTGCTCCCAAAGCAGTTTGTGGTCTGGCAGATTGAAGGTGAGGTGGTTTGCAGGCAAATCCTCCCTTGGCCCCATCTAGTGTGCAGGATGGGCTAAGGACTGCATCATCCAAAGTCAAACCCTAGCTAAACTACCCCACAGCCAGCACTCGTGATTCGCAGGACACGCTCCCTGCAGTGTCCCCTGTGCTGGCGACCCAGGGGGGGCACTCTACCCTCACACTGCAGCACAGGGCACCATTGTGCTGCTGTCCTCTGCTGCAAGGCCTGGAAAGTGCCTCCTTCCTCCACTGCAGGCAGAGGAGCACTGGGAAGGGTCTGCTGCCATGACCCCTCTGCAGGCATTCAGTCTCCAACAGTGTGCTCCAGCCTGGGTATAAACCCCACGCCTGGCTGGGGTCCCAGAGTGGTTCTGCATTTCCTCCAAGAACACAGACAGAATTTGGAAAGGTCTCTGCAGCACACGCCACGTGTCCAGCTGCCAGCTTCATCAAGAAAAAACACAGGAGCCATATTTTGCCACCTCATGAGCTTGGAGCATCTCAGGCCAGGCCAGCCCAGCAGAGCTCTGCAGGTCCCCCCAGGATGGGGGGTAAAAAGCAGGTATACATCCCGGGATCCAGGAGCAAGCCACTGTAGCAAGAGACATTTGCACTCATAAAAAAGACTGAAGCAAGGATTTCTACTCCTAAAAACTCATTTGTTTTTATTCATCTATTAGTTGGTCCAACTCACTGCCCTGGCAAACCTTGTCACGTCAGTGAACTCGGGAGAGTTGAAAGACAGAGAAATTTGCTGCTTCTGCATTTTAGACGTGTGGGTTGTCACCATTTTAAGCTAAAAGTAGTAGTCACTAATTGAGTCACAAACCTTTCACATGGACTAGACAGGAGGCTGGCAGGCAAAGCCTTGCTCATACTGAGACAACAGCTGGAGCACTTGCAGCTTCTGGGACATTGCAGTCATATTCTGGTTCTCAGTTAGGTCAAATTGTTGGATCCCTGTCGTACAGTGGTTTGTAAATACTGACTTTCTACTAGCAAGGGCTGAGTTTCACCTAGTGTAATGAAGCTTAAAGACAGAATTATACAGCCAAAATAGAGGATTAAGAAATACAAGTATGACTTCCAGTTTAAGCAAATACTAGAACCTTAAAAAACACACCCCAGAGATCTTAAATCCAGAGAAAACAGACCTGTATTTTAGATCTCAGTAACAGCAACAGTGGTTTAGAGTGTGGTAAAACTTACGTTTTCTGCTAGTAGTTTAAGATTCTAAAAAGAATTTAATTTTTCACTCATCACAGCATATGATCACAAGCAGGGAGGTCACAGTGTTCCAGTTAATGTTGCCAGAGTAGTTAAGCAAACACTGCTTACAGTTTATACCCCAAGCAAACCTCCTACTTGCTTTGGAAGATCTTCAAATGACAGCTGCCCTGGCATCCCTGACAACTCTCTTGCTGCCTGGGCTTTTTGGGAAGGAGCTCCAGCGCAGCAAGGCTCCAGGCACCAGCTTCAAATGACAGTGATGCTAACAGCAATTTCAGTGCTCCAGTTGAATCTGAAAGGGGAAATCAAGCCAGCTGTGTTTGAAGAGTTAACCACACACAGCTCCTCACTTTGAAAGCAGCACTTGCCATCTGAGTCATTCCCAAGCCTCTACTAAAACAGTCTGAAAGGGAGTTACTTCTTGCCTGAATTCCCCTTTTGCACAGAAAACAATGATTTTCAATTATAATTTCCAACACATCTTCTCCTTTCTGTGTGCTTATTTCCTCAGTCACACCTTCCTCCCCAGCACCTCTTTTTCATTTCATCTCTTCTACTAATGGGGAAAACACATGAGGAAAAAAAAAAAAAGAAAGAAAAGAACAAAGAAACCTGAAAAACCAAACCCCACTAAGGGGGAAAGTCCCTCATAAGGTAAGAAGAGTTTTGATCTACTTTACCCATTCCCTTCCTCACAGCTGAGCACGGACATCTTGCATTTCTCCTCCTGGGGTACAGCGTCACAGCCCTCTCCTTCCTCACGTCTCCCACTTGCCTGACACACCACAAACACTGGCCCGTCAAGTGCACTCCCTGGTTGGCAAGGACTCACAAATTGACAGCTTGATGAATGTGTGAGGTAAATCTTGCATCTCTCAGCTAGAGCCAGCTGCATCCACCACGAGACGAAATGCAGCCCCCAGCAGGAGAAAGAAAGTGGGCTGGGTCAGATGACTGCACAGATGATAAGCCTTTCCAAGCTAGAGGGCAAATTGGAGGCACATGGGATGCAGAACCATGTAGCTGGGGGGATGGAAACTTTAACTGGCCAATATTCTGTCAAAGCCTATCTGGTTTGCAATTAGAGGCAGGTATGCAGTGGGAGAGGTGAATGGTTGGCAGTACCTCAAGCCCTTGAAGATGTTCCAGCAGACACTCAGAAAGTCCCAAGACAGGCTGTGCTGCCATCAGGCTGGCACACTGCAGCCCATAATATCCTCAGAGGGAAATAAGGTACCAGCACAGCTGTCATTTGCACAGGTACCCTACAAGCAACTCATGCAAATCCTCCAGTGCTGCTCACTGTTTCCTACCTCCCTGGTAATTATCACATCCTAAGAACCACAGTGTGCCATCGGGACAGTGAATAGACTCTGTGTACCCTGCACTGCCAGCGCTTCCCACCCCAATGTCTTTATGCCCCAGGTATTGCTTTTGCCTTGTTCCACACTTCACTTCCACGCTTAGTTCAGACCCTAATCACGCTTTGCAGATGATTAAAGCACCTCTGTTTCTGAATACAGAAGTACTCTGCAGGCCCTATTGTAGTTGTCTGGGAAACGCTGCCTGCCTCTGTGACTTGTAGGTGCAGCTTAGCTAATTGAGCTCCTGGTAGCTGGGTTACATGTGTCAGCTCATCTCTCCTATGCAGTAACCGCAAACCAAGTCGTGAGGGTGCGCTTGGAGATAATTAGAATACAAAGCACCAAAGAGTTTTCTCCGTGGCACTTCCCACAAAAAGGGAAAATAAGACTCTTTTATTTCTCTCTGACTGCAGTGGGGAGCTTCTGCTTTCTTCTCCCAGGGGATCTCTTCCCAGCTCTGTGCCACAGGATGCAAAGCAAATATAGATTAGACGTGCTACGTGGCATGCAGCCATGTCTGCTAACTACAGCAGGATCAAAGATAGCTATAATCCCAACAATGTGGGTTAGATTCAGCTAATGAATTCTCTGGGGAAGAAATCTGGCCAGATTTGGATGACTTCATAAAGAGCAGATAGAGCTTCCAAGGCTGGAGAGACCAAATGGTACTGATCCGAGGCTTCTCAGGGAAATTCATCCAAGCCCAGGTGGGATAAGGAGTGAAAACCAGGTGAGGGAGAAAGGAAAGCACTGGAGGATGGCTCCTGTCTTGCTAAGCAGGGTGGTAACTAGTTTTTCTAGTACAGCAAACCAACGTTTTACCACATCAGTGGCAGTGTGGCATGTGTATGATGATCTGCTTTTACACCATTTCTGAAGGCTTTTGTTTAAGTGCCCAATGTTGAGTTAGGCATGTGGGAGGAACTGTAAAGGGTGGTTTTCCAGGGAAATACAATGATGTTCCCAGCATTCAGGTGCAGGTTCTTAAAAGTAACTTCTCTCGGGTGAATGACAACGAGTTAATGAGTTTGAAAATGAGTGTGTCCACTGCCTATCAGTGATGGTTAACAATGTTTGGAGGTTTTTCTAGGCTGAGCCAGTCAGTGCATGGGTCTCCTGTCCCTCCCTTGCTCACTCATGCTCTTAAAAGGGAGCAGGCAAGACTGCTCTGCCTTCAGGATGTTATCACAGGAGGATTTCAGGGTCTATTGGTAATGTCAAGGTGTCTTTGATTCACAAATTCTCTCCCCATCCTAATGAGAGCCCATTCTGCACCGGCAGAAATGTGCTATTCAGCTCACTGATGAGATGGTACCCTCACTTGATTACTATTTCCCTTCCCCAAGACAGACATCC